AGACAGTGGTTTGTTTCTTGATTGTCCAAGAAACAAGTGTATCGCCAAGGAATGTGCAAAAACCAGAGATTGATTTTCTAGAAATGGGATCGGCTGCCCAGTCAGCGTCCGAGAAGGTGCGGAGAAGAAGAGTTGATCTCGTGATTGGTATATCGATATCAATGGTCCCTTTGATATAATGAAGAAGACGTTTTAACAAGGATGTGTGAATGACGGTCGGGTCGTGCATATGCTGTGAAAGTTAATTGACCGAGAATGCGATGTCTGACCGAGTTAGAGTCAAGTACTTAAGTGATCCAATTATTTGCCGATAGGTTCCTTGATCAAAACAAGGTTGGTCTTCAGCAGCCTGAGACGGGAGTTTTGTACAGGAAGGGTTAGCAAGATGATTACAATGTGTGAGATTGGCTAACTGGAGAATGGAATGAGCATAAGAACTTTGAGATAGATGGTACTTATCTGTGGATGAGGTGGTTTTTATCCCAAGGAAATGATTGGCCAGTCCCAAATTCATCATGGTGAATTTTGATTGCAGTTTCTGGAGTAGCTCCGAGATTGCGTTTTGATCATTGCCGGTGAGTAGAATGTCGTCGACGTATACTAGGAGATAGACTTGTGTTTCTCCGTGATGCATTGTGAGTAAAGATTGGTCGGCTTGATTGTGCTTGAACCCGAGGCTTAGGAGGTAATTAGTAAACATTGTGTACCATTGCCTCGAGGTCTGTTTGAGGCCATATATCGCTTTACGTAGAAGGCAGACATGGTTAGGTTGTGAGGCATCCTCAAAACCCTTTGGTTGACGCATGTATACTGTCTCCGAGAGATTGCCGTGAAGAAAAGCGTTGGTAACATCAAGCTGTTGGACGGGCCATTGATGGAAAAGTGCGATGGCGAAAAGTATTCATATCGTGGGTAATTTGGCGACCGAACTGAAGGTATCACTGTAATCCAAACCGTATTCTTTCTTGTTGCCTTGAGCGACTAATCTAGCTTTGAATCGAGCTATGGATCCATCAGAATTGAGCTTGGTGCGATATGTCCATTTTGAGCCAAGAATAGGTGCATTGGGAGGAAGAGGAACTAGTTGTCATGTACCCTATTTTTGGAGGGCGAAGAATTCGTCGGCCATATCCTTTCTCCAGTTGGCAGATTTGTAAGCTTCTTTATAGGTTGTAGGGTCAGAGGCGGATGAAGAATTGGAGTCTTGTGTGCGATAAAGCAGGTTTAGACGACGAGATGACTTGAGATGTCCCGTTTGTCTTCTGGTTATCATGGGGTGCGTAGCCATTGCATGAGTTGGAGAAACCTGAGATGTAGAAGTAAAAGATTGGTCAGTGGTGTGAACAGATTGATATGCATCTGTGGTATCGGAAGGAATGGGAGTAGTGTAAGGTGCTGGGGTCTGTGAAGGAGTAGATGTGTTGAGGGTTGAGACAGGTATAAGTAGCGACGGATTATTGATAGTTTCAACAGGAGGAGGAGGAGGTTGTGAATGTATGAATGGAAACAAGGTCTCATTGAATTGAAAGTGACGAGAGATGGTAATACGATTGGTGGTTGGAGTAAAACATTTGTAGCCTTTTTGGTTTTCCAAATAACCCAAAAATATGCAGGACTCGGAGGTAGGTGTTAATTTGTTACGAGTATGTGACGGTTTGAGCGGAAAGCAAGCGCAGCCGAAGGTCCGAAGATGATTATAGGAGGGGGTTATGTTGAACATCAGTTGAATGGGAGATATAAGATGAGTAGTGGAAGACGGTGTCCTATTTATAAGGTAAATGGTTGTGTTGGCTGCTTCGAGCCAAAAAATAGATGGTAAGTGAGCCGTTTGTAACAGAGTTTGTGTGGTTTCCATTATATGGCGATGCTTCCGCTCGGCAAGCCCGTCCTGCTCCGGAGTATAGGGGCATGAAGTTTGGTGAAGAATGCCCTTGTCATGGGTGAATTTCTGAAAATGTTGATTGACATATTCTCCACCGCCGTCGGTGCGAATTGCCTTGAGTTTGCGAGAAGTCTGCCGCTCAATAAACGTGACAAAGTTAATAAAAATGTTTGTAACATCTGATTTAAATATTACGAGAAATAACCAAGTAAACCGCGAGTAATCAACCACAAATATTACGTAATATCTAAAATCTTGATGTGAGGGGACCGGAGAGGGTCCCCAAACGTCGGAATGTATGAGCTCTAAAGGAGCTTGTTTGTGGTTTTCAGAAATTTGAAAATGTAATTTGTGTCCTTTACATTGTTTGCAAGAATTACAAATAGAAGATATATAAGAGATGTTTAAATCTGGATTGTTCTTGGAGATTTGCTGCATAATTTTATGGCTGGGATGATCGAGCCTATTGTGCCAGTGGGAGATGGAGGTTCTTGCCACCAAGAGACCAGTGTGTTGAGCTTGCGGGTTGTGAGTGGCAAGTCGGTATAATCCATCTCTACAAGGGCCTTTGAGAAGAATTCTGTTGGTCGTCAAATCCTTAAAAATAAAACCAGTGGAGTTAAATATTATAGAAATATGGTTATCTTTAACAAGATTTGAGACTGAAAGTAAATTATGAGATATAGAAGGAGTGTGAAGGAGTTGTGAGAGAAAGAGCTTACGAGAAGGGGTTGGAAGTAGTCCCGTGCCCGAGTGAGCGATGGGGACTGATCTTCCATCCCCTAAGGTAACCTTATCAGTACCATTATAGACGTTTGACGTAGCAAGGTTGTCAGCTGAATTGGTCATGTGCGTGGACGCGCCGGAGTCAAGATACCAATCAACTAAGTTGTTGGTATCGGTATTTGCTAAAAGCGCTTGGATGTTCTTGTTGGAATTTTGCTGCAGGATGTAGTTAGGATTAAGACGATGCCAACAAGCGTCTGCAAAGTGCCCTTTCTTTTTGAAGATTTGGCAAGTGGCGCTGAAGGAGGAGGAGGAGCGGGTTGTCTGAGTCTTTTCTTGAGCCGGCCTAGATCGACCACGATGACCACGATAGTTCGATGCGTAGAGAGCTATTTGGGTATCCATGGTGGTAGGGAACTTCAGAGCGGCGGTTTGAAGGTGGATTTCCTCGCTGATGAGGAGGGCGTAGAGATTGTATAGAGTAAGAGAGGTTTGCATGGTGCGGATAGATGCAGTAAAGGGCTGATACGAAGGGGGAAGCCCGTTCAAGATGTAGATCATAACATCTTCGGAGTCCACAGTAGATCCCGCCGATGCAATTTGGTCTACGATCTTCTTGATCTCAATTAGGTACTGAGACATGGAAAGATTTTTCATGGACACGTTGTGAAGCTCATTCTTGAGCAGAATGACATTAGACCTGTTTGAAGTCTGGAAACGAATTTGCAAGGTGCGCCAGATTTCGCGCATAGAGTCGAGGTGAATCACATATGGAAGAACCGACGGCGAGATCGTCGAGCACAGGGCGGCAGCCAGGTTTGGGTCGATAACCGACCATTGATGAGAATCTTGATTTGGATCGGCAATTTCATTGGCCGACGTCGCTGTCGTCTCTGGTTTAGGATCGAGAAAGATAGCAAATCCATTTGCCTTGAGAATCTTGACAATTTGATTGCTCCATAGAGGATAGTTATCCGGAGTTAAGGAGTTTGGAACAAGAAATTTGAGATTTGATATCACAAATTTCAGGGACGGAGAAATGGATTGATAGTGAGGGATTACGCCTGAAGTAGCTTCGGTGTGGGAGGAAGAGGAAGCAGGATTCGCCATGGAAGAATCAGAAGGATCAAACCTTAATCTGATACCATGATGAAATTCAAGACTCGATGCGAGAGAACAGGGAAGAACGAGAAAGCCGAAAGCAGAAAGTAAATCTTGAATTAATTTTCTCAACCTTTACAGATACATTATAAGATAATATATAGAGGTGTCCTGTACTAGGTGTACACGTGTACAGCTGTTACAGGATGAGGTATAAAACGTAATGAAATTATTTGTCCTATTCTAACAAGTGCATGGTTTATTGCATTAAAAT